AGCAGCGTGACAGAGGCCGTCCGGAGGTCAGCGCGCGCTTTTAGCCCCAGCTCCGCTGGCCCCTGCTTCCAGGGGCGCCGAATAGGCGGCGGCGGGGGAGCCCCGCATTAGCATTCGCATTCAGATGAAGATATTACTCTCTCCGCCCGGGCGGGGCCCTGGGTCCGGCGGAGGGGCTGGAGGGGCGGGGTTTCGGTTCTCGCTGGGACACCCCCCTCTGGCACCGTGGGCAGAGGGGGGTGGGCCCGGGGCCTGCCTCCCTCTACTCCGCACCAGAGAAGGGCAACCTCTGAGGCCCAGGCCTCTGGGAAGCGCAAAGCCAGTGGGAGGGGGTGGTGGAGGGCGGCCGGAAGGGGGCCGCGCTGCCACCTTCTCCTGCAGATGAGGTCCTTGGAGGGGGGACGCTGAGGCCACCCAGCCGCCTCATCCCCCTTCTGCCACTGTCACTCAGGCTCCCGCATTAGAGCTGGTGAAACAGGTAGTGAGTTGATAGGTCAATAAACCGAATCCGGTTCCTTAACGAGATAGACCGAGCAGTAAAAATACAGAGGCCAGAAATGGGAGCCAGAGCCTGCTGGTCAGGGCCCAGTGAGTGCAAGCTGGTAGCCAGTGGGCAGGATGGACCTGGATATGGGGCTGAGCTCCCAGTGTGGGACCCCAAGTTGCTCCAGCCCCTGTACCTCTAAGTCCCAAATTACTGGGGATAGCCTCTCCGCAGACAGCACCCTGGCCGAGGCAGTTTCTCAGGGAGCAGGGCCTTAGGAAGGTGCTCCTTTGCAGGCCCCCCTCTCCCTTTCCGCAGAACAGCTGCTGATTGGACTTTGAGCTCCAGGGCCTCCTGGTGGTTCATTAAACGGAGCCCTGAGGAGGCTGGGCCTGTCCCTCTGGTCCCAGGTGGGGCCCATTCTTGGGAACTGGGGTGTTCTTGGGGAAGTGGGACTAGGGTGGGGGGGATGCAGGGATGGATTTGGGGGAGGGCTCTGAGATTAGCAAAAGAATGAGCGCTGAGGCTAGACCCCCACCTCCCCTGGCTGGTGGGCTTCCTCAGACGGTGGGATGGAGGCAGGGCACACTCACACTCACTTCTGGATACCCTTCCCCAGCCTCAGTTTCCTCCCCATCCATCCAGAGGCGAGATAATTGCAGGGTGGTTTGCAGGATTAGGCCGGATTATCCCGGTAAACCCTCATTAGCCCGCCCAGCCTCCCTCCGGATACCCCTCTTCCCCACCCCATTGTTATGAAACTTTGGTGCAAGCCTGTTTGAGCCAGGGGGTCAGGGCTGCCCGCACCTGGGGACCCTCTCTCTCTTCAGACCATAGCAAGCATGAATTCAGCTGCCACTCTTAGAGCCCCGGTCTCTGTCACCAGTGCGGGGTGGGGGTGGAGTCCTGGGTCCCCGTGCCCCTCATCCCCTGTCCAGTGCGTTTCCACTGGGCTGGCTTGAAACCACTTGAGACACAGAGCCTCTGAATCCCACGCTTGGGGTCCGGTGTCACCTTCAAGCCCCTGGCGTCCTGAAGGGTGAATGCTGGTCACACTACAAGGATGGTGGCGGCTCAGGTCCCCCCCAGAGACTTCCTCCAGAGAAAGGTCTGCTGCTGATTGTGAACTAACAGCTTTCAGAAAACCCTTGCAGGTGGGGAGTCAGCCCCGCTAGACTTGGTTCCTTGTTTGAGAGTCACCGCCCACCCAGCGGCCCCAGTCACCCGAGGGAGGCAGACAGACACTGGGGGATTCCAGAGGAAGCTTCCCGGGCAGGGGCACCCCCTGAGTAGACTGGCCCCCGCCACCCGATACTCTCTGTTCTCCCTCTTCCATCTCCTCTGGGCCCCCTGAGTCAGTGAGGGCACAGCCTCCATGGGCCCGTGGGACTCTCTGTTCTCCCTCTTCCATCTCCTCTGGGCCCCCTGAGTCAGTGAGGGCACAGCCTCCATGGGCCCGTGGGACTCTCTGTTCTCCCTCTTCCATCTCCTCTGGGCCCCCTGAGTCAGTGAGGGCACAGCCTCCATGGGCCCGTGGGGAGACTGAGGCAGTGGGTGACAGAAAAATTGACCGGAGCCTTGGACCCGTCACACAAGCTCGGTGTGGGCCTGTCACCCCCCCACTCGACCAGAAATGCCCGGGGGTGGGGTGAAGACAGGAGCAGACTGCCCAGCCTCTGCCAACCCCCTGCCCCTCCCCGTGTGGGGGCACCCGTGCCAGTCTGAATGCCTCCCCTTTGGTGACCCCAAAAGACCCTTTGGGGGAGCCACGAAGAGGACTGGCGGCAGGAGAAGGACAGGGGCTTGGAGCCAGGCATTGTGGGAACTCCTCAGATGAAGTCACTCGGTGCCCAGACTCTCCTGTCTCCCCCCCACCTTCTGGGTTCCCCTGTGCACCCCCAGAGCTCCCCTGTATGTATACCCCAGAGTTCCCCTGTGCACCCCCAGAGCTGGCCTGGGTGAGTCATGTGGGAGGACAGAGAGACTGCCATGGTCCCCTGGCCTCTGGCACCTAATTGGGCAAGGTGGTTAGACAGTATCAGGGCTTGGCCTTGACTGAGCGGAGGGAGGGCCCTTCCCCCAGAGCAGCGGCCCTTCCATCTCCTGAAGTGGCGAGTGGCTGTCCAGCCAGTGGACCTGGGAGACCACTCTGTCCCACAGCCTGGGCCCCAGGCCTGCTCTGGACCAGGTTGAAGGCAAATGCCCGTGCATATGGCTAGGTCAGACACCGCCACCCAGACCTAACCGGATCTGGCCGTTGTTGCCCTTGGGCATGGTCCTGTTGCTGAGGCTGCCACCATCAGCCTGGCCTCCACCTTCTGGGGAGCGTCCTGCGGCACCTCAGGTTGGGTGGTCCTCTCTGGACACAGTGGCCAGTCCTGGAGGGCTGGATGTAGGCCCCTGACCACCAGGCTGTCTGCAGGGCCAGCTCTGAGCGGTGGGTCTCCAGGGAGCAGGAGCGTGGGCCCTTTGGGTTGGCAGCTTGTGGTGCGTGGTGGGGAATTGGGCCTGGGCCGCCCTGTGAGGGGAGCCAAGGACCGGTGGCCAGAGAGGGCAGCTGAACCCTGGAATCTAGGCCACGCGTCGGCAGAATGACAAGTATGGGCGCGCCTGGGTCTCGGGATGGAGGCCTGCCAGCGAGACCACCCACCCTTGTCCTGGGCCCTGAGCCCAGGCTGCCTGCCTGCGCTGGTCATTGTCTAGTCCTGGCAGAGACCCTGGGGGACAGTCAGCCCCGCCGGTGGTGCGTCACAACACGGTGGTGTTGTCCAGGCTCTAGTGGCCCCTTAAAACAGGCAGCACTGACTGACGGGAGGAGGGAGCCAGCTAAGGGTGCCCCATGGTCTAGTTGATGATCCTTGCACCTCCCAAGCTCCCCTCTTGCTGGGTGACCTTGGGCTGCTTCGTCCCCAGCGGGCCTCAGTGATCTTATCTGTAAGATTGGTCTCTGGCAGGCCTGAGCCTGTACACCAGCTACTCCTGGGGGAACCCAGGGTCCTCCAGGCGTCTGGTCGTGTAGGCATTTGTTTGTTTCTTAGTGCGTGATTCTGTTTTTCTGTGTCCTGGTGCTGGTTCCGCTCTCAAGGATGTTCTGCCCACACACCCAACAACCTCACTTAAGGGCACAGGGCTTTCGTCTCTCCAGACTCCTTCCTCTTCCCCTGGCCATAAGGAAGTAGACCCCTGCAGGGGATATGAATTGCTTACAATTGGTCTACCCATTCTGCAACATTGTTACGGCTTTGAAGCCGGAAAAAACGGGCAGCAACTAACAACAACAACCACCACACTCCCAATAAGAGGGGGGCTTCCTGGGCTGTGCTGGACTGACAGGGCAGCAAGCAGTTGGAGGAATCGGGGCAGAGAGCCGGAGAGCCTCCACCTGTCCTGTGGTAAACACCCTCCACCTTTGGACCCCCAGCTAAGCCCCTACTGCCTGCTTTCTAACGAGCTAACAATAGGGCTTCACAGTTTTAACGGACTGAAAAAAATTCCAAAGAGGAATATTTTATGGCCTGGGAAAATGACAGGAAATCCGAAGAATCTGTGTCCATAAAGCAAGCTGCAGTGGAGCACACGGCCAGGTGAACTTGCTGGACGCCGCCCAGAGTTCTTTTGGGGGGTGGGGAGGCTGCGTGGCAAGAACAGGGAGCGGCACTCAGCAGCTAATGGGGAAAACTTGACCGGGTTGAGTTCTAAATGAGGTGCTTCAGGAGAAAGGCCTGGCAGTCTTTCTCCCTTCTTCCGAATAACCCGCCACTGGGAGGGGGGAAAAAAAACCCCAATGGAAAGATACATTTAATCTTCCTCTGGAGCCCCAGTCCGGTGTCAAGAGCTACTACTGCATGATTTCTGCTCTCCTAAAGATGTAAAGTCTCTAAGTGTCCAGGAAGAGGCAGGTCTACTCTTTCCCTTAGGGACAAATCGACTTGATGGCGATGGGTTTTTTTGGTTTGGGATTTTAACTCAACCAGAGTCAAAGACTTGCAGCCCCGGTGGTGCAGTGGTTCCTTGCCGGCCTGCGATCTGCAAGGTTGGTAGTAAACCACCGGCAGCAAGACGGGGCTTTCTACAGCCCCGGAGACTCACCAGGGCTGCGCTCCCCTGTCCTGCAGGGTTGCTGTGAGTCGGCATCCACTCAATGGCAGTGAGTTAGAGGGTTTTTTTAGGGGGGAGTGGGGTGGAGGGGACAGAAGACAAATCAAAGACTGGGAGAAAAAAGCAGGACTGACAACCCCCCCCCCCTTGGGACCCGAAGATCCAGACAGAATGTTCTAATAGGACTAGGTTGATGGGTCTTGACAGGGTGAGAGGAAAATGGGGCACAGAACCTTAAATT